TTAGAAGAGAAAGTAGTAGAAGTACAAAAAAGAAAAGAAAAACTGGGCCATAATCTTTTCCCCAAATAACCCCTCTTGACTTAAAAGAGTAGGGGCACCTGGGTGGCTCAGTCAGTTAAGTGTCCAACTCTTGATTTTGGCTCAGGTCGTGATCTCATGGTTCATGGGATGGAACCCCATGTTTGGGTTGTGCTGTTAGCACAGAGCCTGCTTGGGATTCTCTGCCTCTCTCTCTGCTCCTCCTCTGCACATGCTCATGTGCGCTCTCTCTCTCTCTCACTCTCTCAAAATAAATACACTTAAAAAGAAAAGTAAATTGAAGTAATGCTCGCATGAAGTTAGACCATCCAAACCATATAGAAAAGTGCAAACAGCAATACAAAGTGGCCCTACCTGGACCCTCCCCACAGTCCCCAGTGTTCCCTTTACAGAGGTAAACATGATAATGAATACATTGACTACATATACAACTTTACCTTTCCTGTATTTTTATCATGACATTTCCAAGATATGTTAAATAAAAATATATGAAAAGATATTGCTAATGGCTACACACATCTTAATCATTTTAGTGGTACTTAATCTAGAGCCCTGAAAGCTTTCCATGGCTGTCTGTGTCTGCTGCATGCAGCCTGGTCCACAATCTGGACCACAGCCTCCTGTTCTTCCTTCTGTGTCTCTGCCTCCCTCATGTTCTCTCCTGGTGGATATTGGCCTTCTTTCTCTCTACTGGCAGTTTCCGTTGCTCCCCTGCCTGTCCTTCCCTCTCTCGTGGCCCACTACCCTTGAACTGCAGGTCTCCTAAGTGTTGCTGCCTCCTGGAAATCTTTGGCGATCCCAGAGTGGTCAAGTCACCTCCTCTTTCCCTAGGCAAGGAGTTCCACAAGGGAAGTAGGCCTTTGGCAGTGCCATATCTCTCTCCATCACCCCTATATCCTGAGTGCTAAGCATGCTGCCCACGTGTGACCAGAAATCAGTAAACCATTCATCTGCTGTTATATGTTCTGTGATTTTTGGCAAATACACATGCTTATATTATAGTTCATTATAATTGTCCATTTTATGAATCTGGAGCCATTTGTGGTCAATGTTATAAAAGAAAAATTATTCTGACACTTATTAAAAGTGGTAAAGAAGACCTTATTTGATGCTATTGAAATAGGGGGAGGTACTATTGCAAGTGACAGAACTCAACTCCCAATACAACAGGAAAAAGTGGGGATTTCTAGCCAACAGGCAAGTTGAGGGAAGGATGGAAAATTACTGAAAAGAACTTGATTAGGTATAAAAGGTATGAAATGAGCTTGACTGGATATAAAGAGTGGGAGGATTCTTACTAAACAGGCTTAGCAGGATTCTTTGCCAAAACTGGCAGGCCACAGATGAGGCCTAGTCAAGAGGAAGGCTCAAAGGAGCCTAACTGAAGTTTGGTCAAGGAGGAAGTCATTGGTACTATCAGCCAAGAGAGCCATGTGACGATTATACCCTTTAGTATCTAATGTTACCTCCTAATAAAGATAGGAGAGACCCTGTACATATGAAAAAGCTCTATGCAGCCAAGAGCTGCCAGAGACTATCAGTTTGATCTATCTCTAAGATGAACTTGTATTGTTCTTATATTTTAAAATAGGAATAATGCAGTATTTTCTCCACCCTTCCTCCCAGGAGAATCCCAAAGACTGATTATGTTTCAAGAAAGACCTGTCAAATGTTTTAGCTCCTTGGCAATGGATGCTGGTGTTTTCCCCTGAGATACTGTTTCACATGTTCCTGGTTACAGATCTAACCTGGCTTGCCTCAGTGCTGTGACTTCAGTCATGAATATAACTGACCTCTCAGTCCCTAAGGGAACTCTCCAAACTCAGTGAGCCATGGTGATCACACATCCCCATGCCCTGATCACGTCTGGGTCTTGCCTGTTGTCCTGGAGTACTATTGATCCTTGAACAACACAAGTTTGAAATACAAGGGTCAACTTGTACAAGGATTTTTTTTTTTTACAGTACTGTAAATGTATTTCCTCTTCCTTATTATTTTCTCAACATTTTCTTTCCTTTAGCTTACTTTATTGTAAGAATACAGTTTAATATACATATAACATGCAAAATATGCATTTATAGGCTATTGGTCAGGCTCCCAGTCAAAAGTAGGCTAAATTAGTAGTTAAGTTTTGGATAAGTCAAAAGTTATTCATGGATTTTCAACTTTGTGGATGGGGTTGATGCCCAATATCTTCATTGTTCAAGGGTCAGCTATAGTAATAAATTATTTTTTCCTTCTCACAAGTATCCCTATTTGGTCGCTATGTTCTGTGGCCCCTCAGCTTGGCAACCTCTGTACCCCAGCACAGAAGCTAACCCTAGACCTGTATTGCTGTGTTCCAGCAGGCTGCCTTGACAGTGACACAGTACCTTCTGCCTGCAGTGACTTGCACAGATGCTATCAATTTTTAGCAAGGTAGCTGGTTGTCAGGAAGATGCTCAAAGAAATCCATGCATGTGAAGAATATTACTACATGCTGCTTTCAGCTTTCTTGGTGGGAGTGGATAAAAATAGGGAGTGTGAAGCAAATGGAGCTGAGGGGTGGTGGAGCGAATGGAGCTAGGGTGTGGGGTGGTAGTACTGACAGGAGGGTGTCACCAGGGCACCAAGGGTCTGCAGTGGCCAGTATTCTGTATGCATTTGAAAATCATGTCAGCTTCCAAAAGCAGTGTCTGTATTTGGATTTCAAACTCTTCATACAAAGTAATGCCAGATAAGAATTAGCTTTGTATTTTGCAAAGTGGGGAGTTGCGTGTGAAAAACCCTGCCCTGGTTCTTATCTCAGATTTACTGAATCATTCTATATGGCAGCTGGGGCTGGGGCTTGTTCATAAATCTGAATTTTTAACACCTTCTGGTGATTCTGATGGATTGTCTTGTTTGAGAACCACTGCCTTAGGAGAAGTAGACATTTTGGAGCAAACGTATGCTTTTATTAACCTGTGCATTTATTTCTAAATGCACAGTTGATTCATTCATTTAGTAGTTCTTTATTGAATAGTAATCATGAACCAAGCCCTGGGCCAGAAGCTAGATATACAGCAGTGAGTGAGAGTATGTGTTTGCTGTCCAAAGAGCTTTCTAGCCAGCAGAGGAGACAGACCTTCATCTAGCAATACCCTGTGACATCATCACTATAAGGGGAATACCAAGGACTGTGGGTGCTGAAACTGGGGCTTACCCCAGACTCTGGACTCAGGAAAGGCCTCCCCAGGGTGTGAGTCAGAGCTGAGACCTGAGGGATGAGGAGAGTAGGAGTATAGCTTCCAGACTTGGAAAGAGCATGCACCAAGATCTCAGCAAAGGGAGGTTTTCTGGAGCTATGAGATAAGTGGGGGGGTATTTACGGTGTTATGAGAAAAGGAGGAGTAGAGGGGGAAGGGTAGGGAGGAGTGGTAGACAGCTTGGATTTGCGCCCCTTTGGTTTGGGGCTGTACTCTCAGAATGCTAAGGAGCATTGCAGGGCTTAAGTGAGGGAGAACATGCGGCTCTCTGTGAGGATCTGTGGGGGGATCCTGGTCTTTAAAGTCCCATGAGCTGATGGGTACCAACATGCAGCTATTCACAAGCTATTTGAGCGGGCTTTCTAGTGGCTGTGGGCAGGGTCAGAGCCCTGGAAACAAGGATGCCCAGTCATCTATGCTGTCCATATAGGAAGGTGCCGGGAAGTGGGCATGGGAGGCAACAGGCCTGGGCTGTGCTCCCACTGCTGTGGTGAGGGCCCAGCCTCTGTGTGCTTCAAGTCTGTAACACTCACATTTGATCTGTGTCTCTCTCTTAGATCCTGCCTGGCCTATACATTGGCAACTTCAAAGGTGAGTTATCTTTTATTATTGTGGTAACATACACATAATATAAAATGTGCCGTTTATACCATTTTTAAGTATAGACTTCAGGTGACATTAAGTACATTCATATTGCTCTGCAACCATCCATTTCCAGAACTCTTTTCATCTTCCCAAACTGAAACTCTGTGCCCATTAGGCACTATTTCCCCCACCCTCAGCCCCGTAGAAACCACCATTCTACTTTTTGTCTCTTTGAATTGTACTGCTTTAGTGTTTGCAGTGTTTGTCCTTTTGTGTCTGGTTTATTTCACTGATCATAATGTTGATTCATATGGTAATATGTGTCAGAATTTATTTCCTCTTTAAGGCTACATATACATATAGCCTTAAAATATACATATATATGTATACATATGTATATATATTTTTTATGTATACATATATGTGTACATATGTATACATGTATACATATATGTATATATATGTGTATGTGTATGTATATATGTGTGTGTGTATATATATATATATTACCTTTCATCTATTGATGGACATTTTGGGCTGCTTCCACCAAAGGTGAGTTTATTTCTTAAAAGATCAGCTTGAAGCTTCTCAAGCATGATTGAGTGAAGGTGTCGACTCAGTTTATACAAAATCTGATCTGTACATAGCCACCACCTTTGTCCAGGCCCCTTGCTGGGACCTCATACTTGTGCTCAACCCCTTAACCAATGGCTGACAGAGTGGTATGGGGCCACATAGGTTCCAACTTACCTTTGATCTTCATTTTAATTCTGCATGCTTGCTGGAACATTATTATCAAAAGAAGATGGCTAAAAGGCACATTTAGCAGCCATGTAACTTATCTATAATCTTTTATCACTTTTGTTTTCTGGTTATTGTTAATACATTTTCAGAAACCTGGGAAAAATAAGTGGTAATTTTATCTCTGGTAGATTATCCTATTCTTGTGTTGACTTTTCTTCTTACATATTTCTCTGCATCTTGTTCTATGTGTATTGATTCACTGTTAGCTACTGACTTTTTTTATGTGTAGCTCATCTGTCTCAAAATGCTCTTCAGCAGTAGAAGGGTGAACAGGCTTTTGTTAGTTTCCAGGGAGGGGCCTAGTTCTCTTCCATGTGATGTTCTGAGTGTGTTTAAGTGAAGACACTGGTTCCTTACCACTGGAGATATGTATACTTAATAGAATGGAGTAGACCTAGGAAACTTGCAAAAACAAGCCTGCCTGTTGGAGAGAGCTTAACCTCCTCAGAGGGCTCTGCATTTCCTCCCTCCTGGAGCAAACCAGAATACATTCCTGTCTGTTTTGAAGTTGTTGCTTAAATTTGAGTTCAAGTTCAAAATGACTGTAAAAACAATCTTTTTTTCCCCCAATATATTTTAAATTACTTTAATGTCATAGGAAATTAACCATTAAGATAATTACTGAAAATATGCATAAAGGAACACCTATCTTTCATAGCCATATGATGACTATATCCACAAATCACTTAACTGTGAGATCCCATTACTGTATATCTATTTCCCTGTGAATCTGTATCAGGTTTTCTCCCCCGAAACAATTCTGCACTAGTAAAAAAAAATGCTATAGCATGCTATATTTACTCACCAAAACCATCAAAAAAGACTTAGCTCTGTAAAGTAAATCTTGCTAAAGTGGTACATGAGAAACCAATAAAACACACATAGGGACAGCCCAGAAAATTTTAGGTTCTGTACCCACTGATTAATAAAAATGCCTCAGGAGAAACCACATTGAATGAGAAAATGCATAATGCTGCTCTTTTTTAATTCTCTGCATAATGTTTATTTCCTTCTCTTCTCCTGCCAACCACCCTTTTGGCTCCTAGTGCTGTTAATTGACCTCAAAGAGAATTGAGCATAGGGAGCTGACAGCTGCTAATTGCTACTAGAACATTTTAAAAATAGTACTGGAGTTCCTAAATTAGTAAGCTTTGTAGTTCTGAAAAAGCAGCAAGTACTTTGTGGTAGGTAGGCGGTAGTACTGGAATACATTAAGAAGCAACTATCTTTTGGGGTTACTTAGGGAGTTATTAACTACTTTCATAAAGAGAGGGGAATGTCTTTGTGTTTGAGAACAGAGTTTAGGATAAATTCTTAGAAGTAGAATTGCTATGTGAAAGTGTTTACAAATTACAAATTGTAATGAATACCAACCCAATTAAGTATGTCTGCCAACAGTTTATGATACTTTTATCCTTATTCATAGTAGGTTACTTTCTTCTAGAAGGTCATGGGCGCATAATTACAGGGAACATTTAAAACTCTTTGTACTATGGGGTGCCTGGGTGGCTCAGTCGTTTGAGCATAAGACTTCGGCTCAGGTCATGATCTCATGGTCCCTGAGTTTGGGCCCCACCTTGGGCTCTGCACTGACAGCTTGGAGCCTGGACCCTGCTTCAGATTCTGTGTCTCCCTCTCTCTCTGCCCCTCCCCCATTCATGCTCACACTCTCTCTCTCTCTCTCTCTCTCTCTCTCTTAAAAATAAATAAACATTAAAAAAAATGTAAGCTCTTTGTACTAAAATCTATACCTATTTTCTAAGTATTCAGTGTCACGGGAATCCCTCACAGTTCCTGGATTCTTGCTGTGGGTTTTACCCATTAGAGATGTCTACACCAGCCCATACCTCTCCTGTTCAGATGGTTGATATTTTTTCATTGTCTTCATTTATTCTGACATTAGTATGTGGCCGTTTTTTATTCACTCATTAATTCACCAAACATTTATTTAACACTTACCAAGTGTAAGGCTTATCTAAAACAAAGGAATAATGATACAGTGAATGGACAAGAGGCTGGAAGGAAGTGTTGCTCTCCATACAGTTGCCTGTGAATTAATTCATTAATTTCATACACATTTTGCAAGTACCTAATGTGTGTGGCACTGTGCTGGGAGTCTGACGTGAATGTACATTTTGGTCCTCAGTGGTTCAAAGTCAAGAGGAGCAGGTACAGAACAGGGGAGTAGGTCCTACCATGGAGAGAAGCTGTGAGGCAGTCTGCCTTGGAATCTGGTTACCCCCCACCGCACACGAGCCAGATGTTACCCTAAGACACATTACACAGCCTAGACACCAAGGGGGCTGTGATAAGGATGAACTAGACAGTGCAGCTGATACACTCCATTCAGTGTCTGGCACATAACTGGTCAGCAAGTGTCAGGCTGTTCTTGCCCTCTCTATCTGTGGAATAGGAACCATACACTTATTTCAGGATGTTGTGGAAAGGAGATAGAGCTTATAAAGCACCGATGCCATGGTAGGTGCACAGTAGGCATTGATCATTGTTAGCTAGTAAGGGTGGAAGACCAAGGTGAAAGGATCATGTCTGCTCCTGGAGAGTGAATCCAGCTGTCATAGGTGCTTTAGCATGATGTCTCATTTGTCATTTTCTTCTCTTTTTAAACTACAAATAACACATGCCTACTGTAACACAACAACCAATACAAAAATGTATAAAGAAAAATTAATGGACTTTTTTTTTTTTTTTGCCTTTCTGAGAGATCTTCATTGTTTTACAGCATGGATTGGCACTGCTACTCAGGCCTTGGTTCTAATGGCTGTGGTCTCTTCAATCCAATCATTGAATGGTCTCCTGTCCTGGCTCCTTCCTCCCCTCCTTCACTCCCCCATCTCTTTTGCCTCTCTTCCTTTCCTTACCTTTCCTTCCTTCCTTCCTTCCTTCCTTCCTTCCTTCCTTCCAGTGTGATCCTTTACATGTCACCCAGAAACTTCCTCCTTTTTCTTTTTTAACTTTGCAATGAATCACAAATGGTTTTCCAACACCTGGTGATTTTTCTACCTAGAGAAAAACCCACAAACCAACCCAGCTTCTGGAGTCTGGTCTTTGATGAGGTTCTCTCAGTTGAGGTGTCTTTGCTGAAAGCTGGCTCTGCCTAGAAGCTAAGAGGGAAGGCAGGAGTGGAAGCTTGACGAGGAGCTCCAGGACAAGAGGCTAGGGTTATCTGCTGCTTTACAATTTGGCAGATCCCAAAGTGGATGTGAACTGACAGAGGACATGTCCTTGTTTGAAGGTGTCCACAAACTTCTAGAAATGTGGGAAATAAGCTCACACCTTATGTGTGTGCTGGTTATGTACATAGAGACATACTTGAGGTCTCAGAGCCTTTGTTCTGCGTCTGCCAGTGAGAGTGGCCATGGTTCCCAGTGGTAGTTCCCCAGTTGTTCAGATAAGGCTGACCTGGTGAACACTGATCTTTGGTAATCTGCTGTTAACTGAGCCTAAGAGAATCAGATGGTGAGTGATGAGCATCAGGTGGTAGAGCAAGAGCTAGAATTCAGATGTCTTCGAAATAAGCATGTATTTGGAAACATTCAGTGGTAATGGAGATTGAAGCCCATACTGCAGCCTTGAAACTTAATCTGGTCCTAATGATAATAATAATGATGGCAATGATGACATTTACTACATGTCAGCCAAACACTATTCTAAGCATATCATTTAGTATTTCCAGCAGCCCTTTGAGGTGGTACTCTAACCATTTTCCCACTTTAAAGGTGACAAAAGTGAGGCATAGAAAAACTTGCCCAAGGTCAACACCAATAAATGTTAGAGCCCACATTTAGTAAAGAAGGGAATAGGTAGGAACTGCCCCATTTTGGCCCTCAGCCCAGGTTGGAAATGTATCCACTTAAAAGTTGAACTCACTAACAGCTAATTTATAACTCTAGAAGTTATTGTGACATACAATAATTTGTAACTCTAGAATTCATTAAATTTCACAGTGGGAAGTAGAACTACAAAACAGATCAGAATCACTTACCCACCACTGAGCAGATTCTCCACTTGGAAGGCAAAAGTTGTTTGGGAAATGACTCAGAACATGGCTTGGGGATCAGGGTCAGAGCAGAGGGAATTGGGCCCTTTTAAAACAGAGACCTTCGCTCTCCTCTTCGCTCACTCATCCTGCATGGCCATGCTTTTGAGTCCACAAATCAGTGTAGCAGGTACTCTGAGTATTGGAAAGGCATTATCAAAGAAGTTCTTTCCTGCCAAATGTCTGTTTCTCTAGAGTGCTTGTGATAATGGTGTTATTTTCTAGTGCTTCTTCCAATATATTTTTGTTAATTTTTAAATAAAATCAAAGACAATTAGAGACAATTCTGCTTGACTTTGATGGACTAGCTTATTTTCCATGGTCACTCTGGCATTTTTCACATCTTAGGACTGGTTACCCCTGTTCATCTTCTGTATCAGTATAAGATCTAGAGCGCTAATTCCCCTTCCTTAAGGAAGCATGTGGCTGCCACTTTACCTTTTGAAGACAGCATCTTTCAGGAATCCACATGTTCCCTTAGCAAGGTCTTACCAGTGATAGATGGGATCTTCTGCTGAGGGAATGTGTAACAGCAAAGGAGAAAGATCAGGTAGGTGTTTCTATTTCAGTGCTCCCACTATGTAAAAATGACATTTGCTTCTTCTGAAGTCCACATGAAGCCTCAGGGGGGTAAACAGAAGCAGGTAGCAAGAGTGGGCAAGAGTCCAGGGGTCAGGGGAGATGTTGAGAGAGAGAGAGGAAAAGAACATAGTTAGCTGTTTTACCAGTGAAGGATTGACTGTTTTACTTATTAATGTAATTTATGTTGAATTTTGTGAGTAGTGTTTTTTTTTAAGTTTTCTTTTCCTGATTATAAAAGTAATGTAGGCTCATCAGTCAAAATAAAATAAAAACTTTAAAAATCCAAATGTGATAGAAATATGTTAAATAGAGTGAAAACTTCCCCAAACTCTACATCCCAGGGTAACCATGGTCAGTGTATATTCTTCTAGATTTTTTTCCATGGGAATTCTAACTTGTAATCATCCAGTTGGCATTATTAATGCTATTGCATTAATAATGTTACATTTGTGATTGCAAGTGGCTGTGAGTTGTTTTTTGGCTTAGAAATGGCATTAAAATGGCATGCTACAGTGGGGAAGGGACATCATTGGCACCAAGTCATAGCTCACTCCCTGGAGGCCCTGCAAAGCTCCATATGTACAGGGCACACAGTCTTCTGGGGTTCTTATTCAGATGCATGTTCTGATCATGTAGTTAGGTAGTGGGCCTGGGAGTCTGCATTTCCAGCAGGTTCCCAGGTGATGCCATGCTGCTGCTTGACAGACTCTGGTTTGAGCAGCAAAGGACTAAGTTCCACTCTTTTGATTTTGTGCCCAAGGAGAGCTGGTGTGAAACTTCATATGCATGTGAGTGGGCTGATAACCCCATGGTCATGTCTTACAGCTGCATTCACAGCTTGTTACTACAGTGCCTATGGTTGTAAGTAGTCATCCAGAACCATCAATAATTTGTAGTCCTAAAGAGTAAGAGTTCTGATGTCATCATCCAAAAGTATTGGTTAGGCACTTTATGTACTCTCAAATAGTTAGAGCATGTGCTTATGGAATAAGGTAATCCCAGAGTGGTGTATCAGTACAGACGGCACTATAATAAAACAGAAAGCACAAAACAAAAGGAACATTATTGTCTAAGAGTTGCTTCTCCTTTCTTTAGAGCCCAACAATCTGTTGTCTCATATGTGGTATCAAGTGGTTCTCTGTATTCAAAACAGCATACTTTTATTACCAAACCACATTTTTTGTTTATTTTAATTTGTGTTATAAAAGTATATTTATGAGGTAATGAAAATGTTTTAAAGTTAGATTGCAGAGGCCCCTGGGTGGCTTAGTTGGTTAAGTGTCCGACTCTTGATTTTGGCTCGGGTCATGACCTCACAGCTTATGAGTTTGAGCCCTGCATCAGGCTCTGTGTCGTCAGTGAGGAGCCTGCTTGGGATTCTCTCTCTCCCTCTCCCTCTTTGCCCCTCCCCTGCTCTTATTCACTTTCTCTCAAAACAAAGAAATAAACTTTAAAAAAATGTCTAAAAAAAGTTAGATTGCAGTGATGGTTCAAAAACTCTGAATATACTAAAAACCATTGAATCATATACTTTAAAAGGGTGAATTTGTAGCATGTAAATTATCTCAAGGAAAGCTATTTTTTAAAAAAGGAACAAGTATATTTAAACAAATATTTAAAATTCAAATTCTGGGCAGAATCAGAATCCAGAAGATCCTGCCCTAGAGTGTCAGGAGGCTGCTTTGAAGCACTCCACCAGCTGCTCTGTATTGTCCCACCCTGTATTGTCCCACCTTGTCTGGGCTCTTCTGTGAGCACCCAAAGCTCTAGCTTGATCTTGCTTTACCACTGGCTAAAACATACATACTGGTGGTGATTGGAAAAATTGCATGTTGGTGAGAATGTGGAAGCTGACTGCCAGTGAGATCCTAAATGATTCTAGTTCCTATTTAATCCAAACTCACTGATGCCAAAACTTGCGATAGTTGGGGGCAAAGTGGGGGATGGTGTTTGGAATTGAATCCCCCTATGTTTGGTGTAGATGGCTGCTGTGTAAATCTGAATTTGAAACTGGAGATGGTTGATTGATGAAGAAAACCTTAAAACCAGCATTTTAGTATTACTTTTAAAGATTTCTTTTCTGACTTTATAAAGTGGTGCATGTTTATGAAAGTACAAAATGTTTATGAAAGTGTTTCAGTCTCTACATAATCATCAAGGCTTATGAAAACTGCAGATTCCTCAGCCTTGCCATAGACCTTGAACTAAATTGGAGCCCCGAACAAGCCCCCCAGATAGTTCATAGACTTGTTAAGTTTTCAGAACCAGTTATGTTGAGTATACCAAAAAAACCCCAAAAAACAAAAAAAATATAAAAAAATATTAAGACACAGTAATTCCATATTTTCAAGATTATCAGTATTAGAGCTAATTCCTTGTAGCAATTTTTCCATATATGTGTTTGTCTTTATCATGCTTTTATAAATTGAGCTCATATTCTACTTATTGTTTGGTACCTGCATTTACACTCTGCTTAACATTATATCCAAAGCATTTTCCCATATCATTAATATTTTCCAGAAACATGAAAAACATTTGGCTTTCAGTCTTTTTTAACTTTCTATCATTTTACCCTGTGTCATTTAAAAAAGCTTGTCCCAGGTCAGGACATGGGCATAGGGGGAGCTGTTTCTTGGTGGACCCGTTTTGTAGGTTAGCAGAAGGGTTCCAACTTGAGGATATTCATTCAGTCTTTCTTCTACAGCATTAGATAGGAGCATTAGAAGAGAATGTAATTTGGTGTTTCCCTAGTTTCATACGCAAATAATTTAATAACCAACTGGTAACTTATGGACAATTCTGTTTGAGATTTCCAGAAAATGTTCCATTTTTACTTTGACCCTGAAGTGAATTGTAGGTGTAAAACACAGTCTTATCTGCATTTAAACCCATCCCTGCCTTTAACATCAGGGTAAAGTCATCCCTAGCAGATTCCTATATGTTACATAGTGAGTGGCTCTTTTGTATTTGATTGTAACTTAGATTATTAATTATTAAGAGGTAATTTTTTAATATTAATACATATTAAACAACTTTATAGTTAATATTTCATATAAGACCAACCTGAGGGTCTATAATTTAACAAATGGCAACTATGAAATGACCTCATAGTTTCACTTCCCTTAAACAGCAACAATCATGATTACATGATTCTAAATATAAATATAAATCTACATAAATCTAAATATATTTCAAGTTTTAGGTGACCACTTTGTATCAAAAAAATCTGCCAATCCCAAATAAGTTTAGTTATCTGCAAAATACATTAAAGCAATTCCTAAATTTTCCTAGATATAGATTATTCTAGATTGGGTATGGCCAATTATGAAGTTTCAAGAAAGAAATATGCAGGTCATATTGTATTTTTTCCTGGCTAAACTTTAGGATTAATTCATTTGCAGAGAAGAATAAAATGCTCATGTTCTTTCTTCTATGACAGATGCCAGAGATGCAGAGCAATTGAGCAAGAACAAGGTGACACATATTCTGTCTGTCCACGATAGTGCCAGGCCTATGTTGGAGGTAAGGGAGAGCTACGTGCATTTATCTTTATTTGTGTTTCCTGGGAGTGCATAGGACATTAGTGAAGGCAACTACCTTCTCTCTGACTCCATGTGCCCCTATTCATGTTGTGTACCTGTGGGCATATTAATTTTGTTTCCAGGCCATATTTGTGTCTATGCCCTGTCTGTGGCATGGCAGAAGAATGTATTCTTTTTCTGATTATACTCCTGCTACATTGCTAGCTTGGCTTTCTTCGCTAAATACCAAAGAATAAGTTGATGCCGCATTTACCTCTAGATGTTAAAGACATTTAAAACTCATTTGCATTCTTTAAAAAAAAATTTTTTTTAAATGTTTATTTATTTTTGAGAGAGAGAGCATGTGTGCGCAAGCAAGCGGG